GAAGTGTTGGCCGCCGGAGCACTTAGCAGATAGGTTGACGAAAATATACAGGGGGACCCAAAAAAAAGAGTCACTTTGCCTATGGCGCATATCATCAAACTTTATCGTCGCAAAGGATGCCGCTGTTATTGGGAGTTATACGGCAAATTATTCCTTAGATGTCCCCCCATAAGCAGAATCAGGCCCACCTTCGCTGCGTTCACCGTCTCCAGAATATGACGTCATCTGTCATCACCGTCGAGCTTAAGGAGGCCTACAATAATCGCTCCATTCTGAAGCTGCTACATAAATTCTTCAATCGATAACTGGTGGTGAATGACTTCTTAGAGACACTAGCTCTGACTATGCAAAATGGCTTTTGACCAGCGTTTCAGAGACGTCGTAATCATCTATGGTTTCTCGACGACCCCGTTGAGCTCGTACCGCGAACCATGTTTCCGGAAAATCTTCTGGTGTCGTCGGGTTTGGGGGTTGGAATGGGCAGCTGTTTCGGATTTTGATAGGATAGAATGTGCTCTTCAATATGCAATTGAGTTCATTCGGTTTGGTTTTGGCAAAGTGTAATTAATTCTGTTTTGAATGTGAGTAGGAGTGACTCTTTTTTTTTGGCCCCCCTGTACATATGTTGTATTGAACGCCTGATCTCGAGTTTTGTTGTGATTTGGCCGCGAGAACGATTCCCTGAATCGTAGTTAGCAAAAGCTAGCTAGTGGCAGAGGCCTCGGCCAGGCGGCGACGGAAAAGAGGTCGCGGGATCGAATTCTTGGCGATATCTCACATTTGCTTTCCTTGAGACATTGCTAAAGATGCTTTTATCCATATAAATTATTAGCGATTGCCTATATTACAAGTGGGAATAGCTAGCGAGGAGCATCTAACACTGTGCGCGCCATTCGCAAAAGATCGCCCCTTGTACTCGTAGCGCACGCGTCAGGCGCGTTCGATTGGGGCGTTGGGGGTGGGGGGGGCCAAACAGAAGGTGCTATTGCGTATCAGGGTTTAAAATGCCATTTCCCAACTTTTGGTACATGTGTGTGTGTGTTGTTACTTTTGCAAAGGGGGGCAGTCACGATTTTTGTTAAGTTCATTTGCATAATGGATGTCACTTGATTTCGAACTCCTCGCTATGTGTGGGCTGGGCTGGTGGTGTGTGTTAGATAATGTTCGGATGTGCTGATGATGACTTAGCATAGATGAGGATTTCCTTAACAATGTCCTCAGGAAAAGCAAAAGTCAAAACTCGCCGAAAATTCGATCCCACGACGTCTTTCCCGTTGGCCCGGGCCGCTGCCACTGCACTATCTCGCTTCATAACTACGTTCGGAGAATCGTTCCGCAAATTTGGAGAGCCCAGGGTCAAGCGAGGCGTTGAGGAAAATTTGGAAATACGACCCCCCCCCACCACCCTCCGCCGGAGGCCGAAGTCCATGAAACAACCCTCTTCAAAAGCCGAACTATGAAAAGGTTGAAAAGCTTGTTTAATTCTCCCCCAAAACTGCTCATAAAAAAGCCCTGCTACCCCACCGCCCACAAAAAAAATTCGTTTAAGAAGTACAAAAGTGAAAAAGTCAAAGAATAATCATTATTGATGAGTCCTACCAAACGAGCAAACGAGAAACAGACCAGAAAACGACAAACTAGCCACTAAAAATGGCATACTATGACAACATCTCTTTATTTATTTCCTCCACAAGACTTACCAAATTCTAGTACTACACAGATTGTGGTTCTCAATTTGCACGTAGCCCTTCAGTTGAAAGAAGCTTTTTAACCGCCTTCGCCAGCTGTGTGTTGACTGGACTTTGGCGTTGACCGTGGAGCAGCTTATTTACTATTGAAATTTGAACAAATATTCAAATGATTATAACTTTCTTCAAATATGACGAATTTTCAATCTGAAAGCAGATTTGGAAGTTTTGTGAAAGGCTTTTTCTAATCAGTATTTAAATTACAAAAAGTTATAAGAAATAACAAATTTAGGTCAATTAACGAGGAAAATTCGAGATGAGCACGAGTTTTTACACTTTCCGAAGCAACAACTTGCTTCATTTTCGTCAAATTCGAAAAGTTAATATGGCAGACAAAACTAGAAGATTTTCTCTACCAAACCATTGCTAAAGCAGCTCTATACGTCCAGTATTCGAAAAATGGCCACGTTGAGGATTTTCGCAAAATTAACGAGGAAAATTTGTGATGAGTGCGAGTTTTTTTACTTCCTAAAGCCATAACTCCGTTCAAACTCATCCAATCCGAAAAGTAAATACGCCATCATAAACTAGAAGATTTGCTCTATCAAATCTTACTAGAACTGCTCCAAACGTCCAGTATTAAAAAAACGGCTACGTTGAGGATTTTCGCACGAGTACCGCCGAAAGGTACTTTTTCGCTACATTGGCACTATTTCAACGGCTGTATATCCTTTTAAGGGCGATTATGTACTAAAGTAAGAGCAGATTTGGAATCACTGCTTTTCTCTTCTCTAAGAAAAGTGATTGATTAGCGTTTCTCAACTTTAAAGGTTACATGTTTATAAATTTAACCCTGAAGAGTCCGTTAACGCAATGTTGAATGGTGTACACCTCCTGTAAATGCGCACGGACACTTTCAGAATTCTCTCGATTGTTCCTGAATTGAGGTTGTTTGTCCAAGGAGCCGTAGTTGGAGCGCGCGCAACAACTAGACCCTTTCTCGGATGCGCCGTGTACCTCACATCCCTTCCAGATTCGGGGTCTTACTTGAAAGATGAAATATCTCTTGGAAAGCGTGCGAAATTCAGATTCTTTAACTTGTGTGGTGATAAAACACTGAAGTAACTAAGAATTACCGGACGCCTCAGAATCACGAAAATTTTTGTGTGGGTGAAATATCATTTTCATTGGAAATCCTCTGGCCTGGCATCGACTCATCCTTGATATTTGTCTTCCGACGGTGATGATCCCACTGCATCAAAATGGCTCGATCTCTTCCACCCAGCGGGCCAATACGACCCCCCCCCCTGCGACGTGTCGAGGATTCCTCAACGCACGCTTGACCCTGATTTTGGAGAGCAAATTCATAATCAGCGTCAAAAACAAGTCTAGTGGGGTATGTCTCGTCTACAAACCTGGCCATTCGACGGATAACCATCCATTGTTAGAGGAGGTGAGACGAGAACACTGGATGGCCTCGATCTATCTGGCTAGGACTTATGTTTCAGCTCTAAAAACTACTGTGTAGGTTTTGCACCAATACAGACGCTGCCATTGGCAGTGCAGCTGCTATAATGTATGGAACAAGAGGAAAAAGAGATCATGGTTCTACCTTCAAAGCAACTTCATTATCAACCCGACTATACTGCGAGTCGTAGCAGCGGACCCTGCACTACGACGAGAAATAATGTCAGCTGAGAAAAGAAGAGAAGTAATCATCGATAGAGGGTCCGCATGTTCGAGCCTTTGATAGTTGACTGTTAATTATAGATGGACGATGCTTATGGGAGCTACTCGGTCCCTTCGATGCAGCGGTTCGTCTTCACAAATTACGAATGCGGATTCAGGAATCTCTGTGTTATTGAGGCGTGGTGAGCCGACCAGCGGTTTGGATCTTATTGGTGAGTTCCGTATGACTTTCAGTCAGCTCAAAGCTCGTTTGACATTTGATCTTAGAAAATTTGCTGGAGTAATCCTCACAGTTACACAGCATAGCTAATGAAAGTTGCCATCAGAATATTCTGTCTTGGTCTAGTGTGTACGTTTAGTTCTGAACATACTTCACTGGCACGTGATATGGTGTCCACACCGACTATAAACGACTTGAGGAGAATAACTTGGTTGAGGAAGCCAGAATTGGGACGATTCAGGTGTGACAGTGCGTGGCATTAAAGTACGCGCCATCACATTACTCTGTGAAGCCACGCGTGTTGTCTCTCAATCGCATAAATAGCCAGGATAGCACAGATATTTTTGCAGCACGAGATGGAATCCGATGCGATATCAGCCCTTTCATCGCTGTACGAATCAGTTGACGACATTGACTTGTTCCCAGGACTTGTCAGTGAACGGCCTCTGAAGGGAGCACTGGTGAGACACGACACCGTATCAAGCAGATAAATTTTTCGAATTTCTACGAAAAAAATATCTCTTTTGTTTCTTTTCAAGGTTTCATTTATTTTTCTTAAGCGAAATGAGAGAAACTTTGATAGACAATCGTATAACTTCGATGCTTGTGGGGTTCTACGGCACAGGAGAGTTCATTCTATATATCTGGAATGTACGAAGAGGGGCCAAGGGCTTTTCATTTAGGGATTGCGTGTCTTTTAGTGGATTCCAGCGTGCAGCGATCTTACAGCATAGAGTGTTTATCACATGGTCTATTCACTCCACGTCTAATCCCTTTGCGGTCCAGTGTACTCTTCGACGTACGCCGCATGATCCGCTTCAGAGAAGAACGGGTTCTTAATGTCAAGGCAAACCCCTGGATTAGCTTGACTTGTAGGAAGGATTCCACGAGGGAAATTTTGAGATACGTACGATCACGCCGGGCTTCGTGATCAAATTTGGGAGTGGGCGCTAATCATGCGGACCTCACATGTCCTCCGTTGCAACGCTTCCACCACGCTCCACTATAGTTTAAGAGATCGGTGTGCTCTCCCGTTTTTTAGTCTTCTTCAATCGCCCTGTCTCGCCATCGTACCACATCCCGCTACAGAAGTTTAAGACCTTAATTTTAGCGTTCCCAATAATTTCCCTTGTTATCTTTTCCACTTTCACTTCATCCGCCAAGCTCAGTCATCCTACGAGTTTACCATATACACTTAGTTTTGTTCCAGAGGTTTGGCTTTAAAGTGCCCGGTGTGTCCATCGTCTCTCTCTACTGCGTCATTTCACCGTCCTCTTTTGTTTTCGAGGCCACCGCTTCCAGCAACTGGTTGAGGAGTATGCGTATGTATGCGTATGAGTTTGAAGCACTGATCCTAAACTATTCAAAGGACATATTTGAGAAAAAAACGACTGATTCTTCGACATTCCTTCTACTGAAGAAAAATGTTCAGCTAGTCCACAATGTCCTGCATCTGCACATTTCGCCACTGAAAATGCGATCGATGTTCTCGAACGATGGTGTGGCCAAATTAGCCCAGGTTAGTTTCGACAATGTTTGATACATAAGATGCAAGGAATGATCAGTGAAAGTATCGCTCGGGTGATTCCGGAAATGATTCTCTGGTTGTTGAAAGTGTGTGTGGCCATTGCAGAGCTCCTACCATTCTACCTTCGTAGCAGGGCCAACCGTCGCTGTTCCGATTTCGACTTTCTTATTCCCCGCCTTCTATTTGTATGACTGTACATGCCCACGCCACGTCCCTTTCTCGGCTACAACGCTCGTCATGATTTTTTACGGTTTTCCAAAACCAGCTGACACAGTCCACTTCTGGCCACTTCACATCAATATTTCTAGCAAAGCGACAAATGTTCTCATTTTACTTATTTAATAATTCCCCCCCCCCAGTTTCCGACAGAATTGTCGAACACCCGTCGAGGACACCCTTCTTTTTCCCTCCCCCTCTCATCCATAACGGACTTAAAATCTCAACGACTTCCCTGCCCCATCGCTAAGACGCCAAATGCGACCGGTCGGAAAATACCAGGCAGATCAGTCTCGTTGAACCTGAGCTATACCGGACGTTCATCTACGTTAGTGAAACACAGTCGTCCAGTCCTGATATTGTATGTGAGGAGTTTCTACGAAAGCGATTGCCGAAATTTTGTGATGTAAAACAACGAATGGCTAGGTAGTTACTGGAGCGTTCAGAGTTGAGCGATCTCGTCACGTGCGATTAGGAGAGGCATTGGGTCTTAGAAAAAGCTACGCAGTTCGAATAGGGCGACTAGGCGATTAGGGGATCGCTCAATGGGCGGAGCCACAAATCGAATCGTATCCCTCCCTTAGCGCCTGCTCGCCTACTCGCCTTATCCACTACTCGTCCACTCGCCTACTCCCCTACTCGCTGAATCGTCGCCTAATCACCGAATTCAGCTTAATCGAAGTCGTAATGATTGAGCCAACGATGAATCTTATAAGCTATGTTCGTGAGGCCACGCAGCTCATTTTCCTTTCTCTTGTATGCAGTTTGATGACAGTTAACCGTCAAACCTAGGATTACGGTAATTTATGTTAATTTAAGCCCAACTGAGCGAGATTCGGAAAATCCGTCTATCGTCGATCTTCTGCGCAACAGTCGATATCTGAGAACGATTCAACCGAACGTCTTCGACGTGCCGGACGATCTCATGTACGAGTTTTTCCTTTTTTAAATGTAATGAATATCATCGTGCTCGTTCATCGTTGGTGGGGGGGGGGGGGTTAGAGTTCTGAATGTTGCAGAAAAGCGATGTGAGGGGCTGTGGGACAGTTCTTATATCACTGCTACTGAATACAATGCAAATACTGTTGTATTCCCTTTGTAAGTAATATTTGAGGAAAGGTACAAACGAAAATGTTGACTGAGTCGGGAGTGCACGCGGTGGAGTTTATCGCGAACGGCAAAGGAAGGAAGGGACTCTAACGCCGATTGTAATTCCTTTTTTCATTTGATTCGAGGGCGGAAGTGGTGTAGTGGCAAGTGGCACGCTTACCACGCGAGCGGTCCGGGATCAAATCCTGGGTCGTGAGTCGCCCGGGCCAACCAAGCCTTCCATCCCTCCGGGGTCGGTTAATTGGTACCAGACTTGTCTGGGAGGATAAAAAACACTGACTTACATCGGCTGGCCCCCGCAAGTCATTGTATAGGCCACATCGCATTCAAACGCCACTGCGAATGTACAAATGGAAGTAGAATGCGTGCCGCATCCCAAAAAGGGATTGATCAACGGCAAATGCTTTATCCTTTATTTGCATTACGTATTTCAGAAATGCTCAAGTGCCATGCGATGACGTTCCACAACTGGATCTCAGTCACTGGAAAGATCGAAGTGATTAATTTGAACTTTAAAGGACTCCTCCCGAAACACTTTTCTGACTAATTGGAAATGACTTGCAGAGCATTGCGAAATGAACGGCCGAACGATACAAATGGGTACATCAATGCATGTCACGCCATGTGTGACGTGCACCTGCACACACGATGGGGTTTGTCTTTTTTAGAGTTTAAGCTCATTTTCCGAAGACGTGAGACAAGAAATGGCCTAGTTTCGAGTTTACCAAGCCAGACAGCTGTTGTGCGAAACTTTTATTAGTGTTGCGAGTTGGCCTCAGTTACCGTAACGACACGACCGCTAGCAAAGTAAATATATTGTTGTATTGAAGTGTCACGAAAACGGCAATGGGTTATAAATGGTTAATAAGTAACCATTATAAGGAATAGTCATTTCTTGATAGAAATATCGTGATCAGTCATTTTCTGTTTACTTAGTGAGCATTCAAATGTTTCGACGATTTTGCGTGGAAATATGAGTTCATGGCGCATCTCACAAACCCATCTCAGGTCATTGTGAAACAAAGAACCCCTTTACTTTTTATTAAATTTTGTGCTATGCAACCGCTTCATGATGTTCGTTTGATTTAGGTGGCATGCCATCCAGCGACAGTGGACAGCTGTGTGAAACTGTCACATAAATACTTGCTTAGCGATATCTCAAAGGTTAGTTAATTTATGGTGTTTTGTTGGCCAAACAGGAAAAAGTAGCATGGCGAAGTATTCATGATCGTCAGATGGGGCGAGAAATGGTCTCACCTGTAGTTGCTAGTACCTAGTTAGTACAGGGGAGGCCAATAAAAAACGACATTTTGACTATGTCGCATCTCAGCTTTTTTTTTCGTCGCAGAGATTGTCGTCGTTGACGGAAGTTCTCAGCAAAATATTCCTAAATGTCCCTCTATAAGTAGACGCAGGCCCTCCTTCACTGCCCTCACCGTCTTCAGAATATGACGTCATCTGTCATCGTCGTCGAGCTCAGGAGGCCTACAGTAACTGCTTCAGCCTGAAGCTCTTACATAATTTCTTCAATCGATTCATCGTTGGATAGTTTCCTAGACATTAGCTCTGAACTATGCAAACCCCCTCGGAACCCGCTTTTCAGAAAACGTCGTAATGGTATGGGGTCCGTCCACGACCCCATTGAGCACGACCAGTACACCATGTTTTCAGTGCTAATTTTTCCGATTTCGTCCGTAACTTGGGTCGTATAGCATCGAAAGGCCCGGAGTCAGGCTCGTGTTTGGGCATTATGGCGCTGAAATTGAGTGTAGAGATGGGAGGTGGAACGACAGTGAAGAAAAAACGCAAAGAAACCGATCGACAAGACCGAAATTCGAAACCCCTTTCCTTCTAGCCAGTGAAGGAGGCTTGCTCGGGGGAGAGCCGTGGGACCGTTCCAAAAACGAGTTTTCCGGATATGCCAGCCGTTCCATCGGTTGATACGGCAATCAACCTAGCTGAATCTCACACGTTATGCCAGCCACGCACCACATCCCGCGGTGGGCGGGACCAGCTGATGAAACGAACCCATCGCTGTAAAGTAGTAGGCCAGAAGAGGCCTTGACGGCGCGCAATCTCGAGACAGGAGTGTGGCATCACCCCTCTGAGCGCATTCCTGGAAATATTAGT